TTTGGTTTGTTATGCCATCAAGAAGAACAACAGTGGTATTCGATAAAAATATCAAATTCCGTAGAATTCCTCAAGGATTTCCAGATATTTTGTGATATTTTCACMGGGACAAAACTGCTTCGTGCTTGCAAACTGTGTGTGAATGGTGGTAAACTAAGGCCATTGGAAAAGAATTTAGGTGCAGAGAGTGTTGTTAGGGCTTTGGGGTTGATAGCCTGAGAGACCATTTTTATCAAGTTGTGGCCATGTGTCCTAACTAGCACCTGAGCCTGCAGGGACATGGGCTGTTTTAATGTCAATGACTAAGCTCTGATGTGTAATCACAAGGCAGTTTGGCATAGCTGGGCTCCATGTTCATTCTAATCTCTATGTCCACTCTGATCTCATTYCAGAAACACTCACTCCATGTTCTCAGGTTAATGGTTTCCTTCTCAGCTTAATGGTTTCCAATGTCATTTTAGGTGGCTGTAAAGAAAGTGAGTCTAGGAAAACAGCCCGAAAAGGAACTAATTCTCAATGAGCTCCTAGTTGTAATGAACAATAAACATCCCAATATTGTTAACTATTTAGAYAGGTAAGTAATTCTGGTATTATCATGTGAATGTTTATGTATGTGCAGCAAGACAAACGTTAAAAAAAACCCTTCCAGTCACTGCTGGATAATTGAGGTTTTTACATTCATTCATCTGTTTGTATACAAATATATATAAGGAGAGTGTATTTTGTTTGCATTAATCTTTTCTGACATGCATCATCAGAAGCCTGTTTTGAAAAACCTGGGTCGGCCCTGAATAAAACAACAGCCACTAAGTTCACTAGTTCCATGTGGTTTTGTTGATTTGGGGTTGGTTCAGATTTTTTTTTAAGTTGAACATAGTTTCTGTGTCTTATGATAAGTGTTGATAACTCATCACAGAAATTATTACCCACATTTTTCCTTGTTGTCTTGCTTGCTATCTAAGCCACAGATGGGCCTTTCTCATTATTGCACAGATTCCAAATAGTGTATAACCTAGGACAAACACCTCTTCCTTTTATTTTGTGTTCACTTACAAGTGCCCTGGAAACAGAAATAATCTGTAGTTTTTCTCATAAGGTAATTTAGCTATGCACATTCATCTCCATGCCATTGTTTCCTTCTTTCAGTTACCTTGTTGGGGATAAACTATGGATAATTATGGAATACATGGATGGAGGACCTTTGAGCAGGGTCATTAAAGAAGTCCGTTTGGCTGAAGGAGAAATGGCAGCCATCTGCCGAGAGGTAAGGGAAGGGATGCCACTGGTGCTTCCGACTGTTTGGACAGGCTGGTATTTCTAGAACAGGAGTGATTTCATGTTCAAAGCTCTGTTTTCTGTGTTGCATTGATGATAAGGAGAAGCAAGAGGGTCTTAGGTGAAGGGCCTGCAAGTGCAACTGTTGTGGTACTGTCCTTTTAAAAAAATTTATTGGCTCTTCTCCACATTGCCTCTTTGAGCATTTGTCTGGAGCCTGTCTGTACTGCATTTTTTGCTCATAAAAGCAGACATACTGGYAGCAGAATTTTAAACTAACAGCACACTATTGTTTGTCACCTGGATGGAGAGAGCCCATGCCCTGCAGCAGCAGTGGTTCTGTCTGTGTTTTCAGGGAACAGTCTGTAACAACAATTGTCATTTCTCTTTCAAAAGGTAATATGTTTTCACCTACAATGATACTGCTCTACTACTGATGAAGCAGCAGACTCTTCCTCTTGACAACACACTGCCACTACTCACCTTTCAGCTAGAATTTAAGCCCTTCAAAGCCATTTCCTTTYTTGGATGGTGAAATCGGGTAAYTGACTTTTACTCTCTTGTTTGTTTTCTATCTATCAGTGTCTGCAAGCACTAAATTCCCTTCACTCCAACTTCGTGATTCATAGAGATATAAAAAGTGAAAACATTCTACTCGGAATGGATGGATCTGTCAAACTGGGTAGGTACTCTTGGTCAAGCATGGCATTTCTGGGATGTGGGGTGTGGGGCTGCTTAAAACTGACCACCAGATCCCCAAGAGCGGGGCCTATGGGAGCGTACGGACCACTGCTGCAAGCAGTAATGTGCAGAGAGGTCTTGASAGAAACAAGGTGTCAACAGTGGCTTTGGTTTGTGTGTGTCCCTTCCAGAGTGAGGGAGTTGCAATCAAAAGCTTCAAATAAATAAAAGCCTCAGTTTTCACTGAGTGAAATGTGGAGGTTTCTATAAGTGGCTGATTCCATATTTCCTTGGTTACCACCCTGAGGAAACAGAGCACGACTGCTTTTCCAGCTAGATTCAACATCACATTCTCAGACTTGGAGTGGGAAATTATTTTGCTTGGTTTCTTAATTCAAGCTGGCTTTAATGACACTGRGTTTCCTCCTCAGCTGATTTTGGCCTCTGTGCTCAGATGAGCTCCGAGCARAGCAAGCAGAGCACAATGGTTGGGACAGCTCACTGGATGGCACCAGAATATGTAAACAAGGATGAATATGGAACCAAAGTAGATATTTGGTCCCTTGGYATTGTAGTGATAGAAATGCTGCAAGGACAACCTCCTTATTCAGCGGAGATTCCTCTCAAGGTAAGGTGCAAATACAAGCAGATACCACTGTCTCTCTAATCTGTCCCATGTTTTGTCTCTCATGAAACAAAATCCTATTCACATTAGTTTGGACTAGCTCAACCAAGGCCTATCTATCAAAAGTTGCTTCTGGAGCACATCAGCATCTCATGTAGCTTTGGCTGCATGCATGGGAGAACCTCAGAAAAGGAGGGACACGTTCCAGTTCAAAAACATGCCATTTTGGTCTTCAATGATGCTTCAAATTTCTCATGTGCTTTTTGAACTCTTTTTTGAGCTGCGACTCAAAATTAGAAGAAATGTTCACTGGCAGGTTTCTCCAGCTGGGGAATTTGTATGAAAAGATTTCAACAGTGTCTGCAGGCACAGAACCCTTTTCAGTCTTGCACCAGTACCAGTTATTTAGCTGAGTTTTTCAGGAAGTGCCTCTGGTTCTAGGAATGTCCTAATTATTCATTACTAAATCCTTTTCCATAACTATGTTTTAGCACAGGAATTAGTTTCATTAATGCATTTACTTGAGTATCAAAATTAGCAGAGAGTTACCTTACGGATGAAATTACTCTTTTTCCTGATTAGACCATTAGAAGCTTTTCTTTGATCATGGAAGTGAAGTTCTTTGGGAATTTGGAGTCTGATGAAAGACAGAGTTGCGGGTGGCTCCAGTCTGCCTGATTAAGCATTTTCATCATAGAATATTTGTGCATGCAACTAAATCTGTGTTGAACTGAGGTTCCAAACTGTTCCTTTAAGCAAGGAATTGGAAAAGGATTTCCTTTTTGACATTTTGTTACCATTTTTATTGGGAAGAGAGCAAAAAATTTGACAACTTTTTTTAATGGAAGCTGTACTTTAGAGACCAGTGAGCATCTCAGAGATGAATTGTAGGTAACAATGCTTGAAAACAATGTAGTTAGACCAAATTCACTYTTTAAAAGAGCCCACAAAGCCTGTMATGTCAATCCTCAGAGCAGCAAAAWGTGCTTTTGGTTGATGTAACTYCTACTAACTTGGTCAGCCCATTAAATCAGTTGTCAAGGCAAGATCATCTGCATGTTGGAATAGCTGTGGCTGCTTTTTTCATTGGTGCAAAAAAATCATCTCTAACTCTCTGTTAGGGAAGGAACYGCAGCTGGAGGCTGGAGCTTAAAAAATGGGGTCTATGTGAGCAGTTGGGGATATGAAAGAAACAGGTGGAGTCTCACGCTTCCTTTTTCCTCCAGGCCCTGGATCTCATAGCTAAGAGAGGGATACCAAARCTGGAGAACATCGAGCAACTGTCCACTATGTTCCAGGACTTTCTGGGCTGCTGCTTGCAGATGGATGAGGACATTCGATGGTCTGCTGAGCAACTTCTGCAGGTACGATGCAAAGCAGCTGCAAGTGAGACAGCTGTCCAATGGATTGGGTTTCTCATCAGCTAAACTCARAAGCATCAGATGGCCTTCCCGTCATATTAATGCCCAGTTTGGGTGCTTTTCAAGTGAAAATTGAGTAGAATCATAGGATAGTTATGGTTGGAAGAGACCTTTAAAGGTCATGTAGTCCAACTTCCCCACTATGAGCAGGGACATGTGGAAGTAGATTAGGTTGCTCAGGGCCCTGTCTGACCTGACCTTCAATGTTTCCAGGGATGGGACACCTAGGATCTCTCTGGATAACCTGTTCTAGTGCTTCCCCACTCTTCTCATAAAYAATTCCTTCCTTAGGCCTAATTGGAATAGACCCTCTCCTGACTTGAAAGCATTTCCCCTTTTTCAGAGGCCCTGTTAAAAATGCATTCTCATCTTTCTTAGAACCCCCTTAAAGCATTGAAAGGTCTCAGTAAGATCTCCCTRGGGCCTTTTCCAGGATGAACAATCCCAAGTCTTGCAGCCTTTCCTCATAGAGAAGTGTTCCATCCTCTGAKCATTTCTGTGGCCCCGTTTTGTGTTTTGGTAACATGTTCCATTTTCCCTGGTGGTGAAAGGCCTGCAGTAGGATGATCCAAGGTATGGAGGCCTGAAATGGTGCTGATGATGAAGGAACCCAATGCAGCCATCCCAGCCAAGCAGTCCAAGATTTGGCTATGGGAAGGAAGRGGCTGTRGGGTGCTCCCTGTGAGCATCAGAGRGGCCCCAGCTTGTCACTCCTACCCCAATCTCAGAGCTTTCTGCCACCAAAACAGGGACAGCTGAATGGGACTTGTTGCAGCTCTTTTTGCTGCCTGGCACAGTTGAGTAGATGAGAACTGCTACAGGGTTGCTGCCAGGTTTTGTGGCAGATTGGGAGCTGCAGAAGGTGCCACTTGGCTGTCCCTGCTGTGAAGGTGCCAGCCAGCACAGGAGGGCAGGGGATGCAAAGGCACAATGCTCCCCCTGCGAGATAGAACTGAGTCCATCAGCGCTCCACCACTTGTCTCCCTGCTCTTGTCTTGGTGCTGAAAACCTCAGTGGTCTTCAGATCAACACACGGGCCCAGATCCTACTGGGATGAACATTAGCTGTTCTGGAGGTTTTGAAGAACAGCTTATGCTCTTCGTCTTTTTTTACTAAAATAGCCCATGCCTACAAGAAAGAGGAYCCTAAGTCATTATTTTGAGTTTCCTGGAAGAGGAAAATTCCTAGAACAGCAAGTAGCATTCCCAGAGTCTTGGCAGGGCAAATATTATATCAAGCTGAAGACTCCTTGATAAATGGATTAGTAGAATTATGGGAAAAGTATTTCAGGTACTGGGCATGTGATAGCAAGGTACWGGACATGAAGATGGAGGTGCAGATAATTTCTTCAGACCTATTTTTGCATATTTTTGGTACCTTGAGGAATAGTGCTTGAGCCCATGAGGAAAYGAGTTTGGAAAATCATGGTTTATTTGTTTTCTTTTCATTTGGACAGCATCCATTTTTACTMTCAGCCAAGCCTCTCTCCAGCCTCACGTCTCTGATCATTGAAGCAAGACAGCTGAGGGAGGAAAGGAGATGTGACAATGATGGAACTGCTTTGTCCAGTGTCAGTGATGGGTGGGATTCGGAATAAATTTATTTTATTTTATTACTTCAATTCAGTTGGAAGATATCCTTCCTTCTCACCCCGTGGTTAAACTGTACATTCACTTTTTAATTGTCACTTATTTCTTAAAGATGGTAAGACCCCATTATGGGGATTGTTCGTATGGTTTGGAATTGGAGAAGGGTTTCTTTCACTCCTAAACTCCAGACTGTATTGCCTTTGGAATACAGCCCACTGGCTGGATTTTGCCCAGTCATGGTACTGCTGGATGAGGAAGAAAGCACATTTGCATTTCCAATCAGACACAAATGAAGAGTGGAGTAGACAAAATTCTGTGTGGAGATACAGGTTTTCCGCTGTGAGTGACTCTGGAAGGTTTTGGCCCTCAGCCCTTGGATTTGTATAACTGATATCAATGTCTATGCCTGGATGAGAGTCTTACCCAAAAGAAAACGCAAGAAATTCAGTCAGTGAGCTCTGAAAGGGCCCAGCAGCTCTGGTTTCCTGAACCAGAGGAATCCCAGGGGGAGCTGAGAGAGCCACCAAGAGCCTGAAGCTGGCACAAGAACGGCTGACAGGACCTGGGTGTACAAGGAGCAGTAGTGGCAAAGTGTCCATTCTTCTGGCTCCAAAAAAACATCCTGGGGAGCACTAGCAGCCAGGGCGGGAAAACAGGCTGTGACATATCAGATCATGCAGAAGAGCATGCAGGAAGGGCATTGATGCTGTGCCAGCCTGATCAGGGAGCAGTGGTACCCAACTGGGGAGAAAACCATGGCCTCTCTAAGCTCTTGCACCCACCATGACTGATACAGTCCAAAGAGAGCTCCAGTGGGATCCTGCTGCCAATCCAGGTGTCAGCTGCAAGCTGTGCCCCACTCTCAGGCCAGTCCCAGATGGCAGCAGTGGGAGGCTGGTCYAGGAACTCCTCCACTTAGTGCCAGAGCTGCGGGAGGAGGTGAATAGTTAAACACTGTATAGAGGTGTGCATCTATACACTTGTATATTTATCTGGCCATGCACTATAAATTAGAGGGGTTTTCTTCCAAACTCTGTGTTCACAGCCCATCCTCACAGCCAAACCCAAATTCTTTCTCAGCTGTTCAGTGTTCGGAAAATCGGCATGGGGTGATCCATGTTTGTGCTGGATGTTGTAATTGCCTGGGCTGTTGAGAGTTTTCAAACTTGCTGTTTTCTTTTAGTTCTTCACCTTTCTGAACAGAAGGGAAAATGAATAAAGACTCTGGTCTCCAGGTTGTTGGCAGCCAAAAGAGGAGCTGTCATCCACTGAGGAAGGAGAGCTGGGAGATTGTCTTGGTTTTGAGACAATGTTTTCCGAGAGAAAACGTCACAGGGAAACGTTTCCTCTGAAATGAAAATAAATTTGATAATTTTTTTTCCCTCCAACAAGAAATAGATGCTGGGCAAAAAAGGTGAAGAGAAAAAAGGTAGTTTTATTAACAAAAAAAAAACAAAAGAGTGCCCACAGGACACAGATAAAGAGTAACCGCTATAGAGCAAGGATACAGATAAAAAGTAACCTTCAGATATTCAAATAAAAAAAACTCGCCACGCAGCAAGGCAGTGACTCCGCCCCCGGGAAAAAGAAACAAAAGGAAAACCCACGTGGCGGTTATTGTAACAGTGGCAAAAGGGAAAAAACAACCGAAAGAAAAGAATGGTACCACAGTCTCAGCTTCCCAGTGGATGAATCAGAGGAGGGCTCAGCGTGCCTCTGCTGCCAGCCCGGTCCACCCTGGGATCCCGGACGGAATGGAGCCGTGAGGCCCCTCCCTCGGCGGGACCGCCCGAGGAGCAGCAGGAGACGCAGAGGGGATGTTCGAGGAAAAGCCTCCGAAGCCACAAACTGAGCCAGCAGAAACTGCGACACTGTAACTCTGCTCCAGGTAGCAAGCGAGGGCTCCCACAGCGAGAAGCAGAGAGAGAGAGGGAGGAAAACGCAGCTCGAGCAGCCAGACCGCGTGGCAGCGCTGGCAGTTAAACTGTCCGCTGTGGCTTCCCAGCAGCCCCTGCTTCTTCTTCCGGGTTGCATTTAAAGAGATAAACATTTTTTGGGCATATGTGCCAACGGAAAAGGAATACAGAACAAWACTGGCACCAAACATCAACCCAAGACRGAGATGAAGCAGAGAGGTCAAAGGACGAAGCAGAGAGGTCAAAGGCCCCTCGTTTCTCTGTAGATTGTTTGAGACATATGAAGCTCTTTCTGCTAGAAACTTGCTGCTTTTGACTTAAAGCAGATTTAAACTTCCAAAGCCATGCGAGGGATGCTGAGGGCAGTAGGAGGATCATCCCGTACAGCCCAAACATCTTATTGAAACCTCAACCTTCACAAGGAAGCTTTGGCRTACCCACGGTGGGCAAAAATTCATTGTCATGGCTGGACACTAGCCAAACACCAGGCACCCATGACAGCCACTGCTTCGCTCTCCCCTGCCACAGCTGGGCAGAGGAGAGGATAAAAATTAAATGAAGGGGTCATGAGTTGAGATAAAGACCCGGAGCAAAAYACTCCAAGGGCTAAAGAGGCTCAACTTAGAAATATAAAGTGAATTTATTACCAACAGARTCAGAGGAGGATAATGAGAAGTAAAATAAGACCTCAAACACTTTTTTCCCCCTTTTTYCCCCCTTCCCACTGATAGCATAGGGAACAGGGCCTGGGGGTTTGGTCAGTTCATCAACCAAGATCTTCTTCTGCCTCTCAGGGAGAGGAATCTTTCCCGTGTTGCGCAGTGGGTCCCTTCCACAGGAGACAGTTCTCTGTGAACTTCTMCAGAWTAGTCCAAATCTCACAAGCAGCAATCCTTCCAAAACTGCTGCAACATGAGCCCCGCCACRGGCAGACAGTCCTCCAAAAACTGTTGTGGTGTGGCTCACTTGTCCATGGGGTGCAGTCCTCCAAGGCCAAGCTGCTCCAGCCTGGAATCAGGGCCCCCTCTCTCCACCGGGTCTCCCACTGGCCCMCAGCCTCCTCCAGACATCCATTCACTCTGGTGTGGGCACCTCCCCCACGGGCTGAGAGTGGATCTCTGCATCCCCCGTGGATCCCATGGGCTGCAGGGGCACAGCTGCTCCACCATGGGCATCACCATGGTCTGCAAAGGAATCTCAGCTCCGGTGCCTGAAGCACCTCCACCCCCTCCTTCTCCACTGACCTTGGTGTCTCCATGTTGTTTGCCTCACATGTTCTCACCTCCTCCTCCTCCTCCTCCTCTGGCTAGGACAAAAACTGTGTCTCCTTTGTTCTGGTTTTCTTCTTAAATATATTGTCACAGAGGTGTAACCAACATCTCTAATTGGCCCAGGCTTGGCCAGTGGCATGTCTATCTTCAGAGCCATCAGGGATTGGCTCTGCTGGACATAATGGAAGCTTCCAGCAGCTTCTCACAGAAGCCACCTCTGTGTTCCACTTGGTACCAAAAAACAGGCCATGTAAAACCAACACATTCATAAAGGTCAAAATAATGCTACTGGGCTTAATAGTATTTATAGAATTAAAGGAATTAAAAATGAAGGTTTGTTTCTTCTAACTTCCAAGATGTTTGACACAACAAGAGGAAGGAACATGCACAGGAGAAGCCATTGCCTGTGGGAAACGAAAGGGTCTCTCCCCAAGATTAAAGCTAGGGGCAGAAAAAGTTCAATAAGGAAACTCAAGAGATTGGTTTTCTACTTAGTTTATTAGCAAAGGTTACTGACTAGTAAATGTAAGAGTTTAGAAGTTGCTACATTTGGTCTTTTTGTCTTTATTAAATCATTAATAAACATCACACCCAAAACAGACAGAAATTCAGAAAAGTAGAACTGATCAACTGAATTAGAAATAAAGGAATTAAAATGCCTGGGTGCTTTAGTTACTCCCAGAATGACTGCCACAATGAGAGGAAAGAACACTTCTGTGAGAAGCCATCACTGCAGGACAAGGAAGAGTCGTTTGCCAAGACTTACAGAAAAATATTTGGGTTAATAGGGCTTAGAGATGGAATAGGAAAATTAAAGAGCTTTACAATCTGTTTTTGTCATAAATTTATAGTCATGTGCCACATTCCAGTTATCACCTGCTCCAAGTAATGTGATTTTTTTAATGTTTCTTTTCTTTTCTTAACTTAGTTTATGTGATTGTGTTCTGAACAGTGAATRTAAAAGGGTTTGGGTTGGTTATGTTTTATAATGTGTTCTTATAATGTTTTAGAATACGTTTTATTATATGGTTTACTATATTTTTATTTGTTTTATTAAGTTTCATAATGTGTTTTTTTGTTACTTAAACCCAAATTTGTTTGCTTCCTGTGTGTTCCAAATGCAGCATTGATTTGGAAAGACCCCAGGCACTCGCTTTCTGCCCCAGGCCCAGCGCCTTGCTCAGTGGGTGGGGAGTGTGCAGGCGAGTCCTTATTCCCCAACCTGTGGGATTTTATCATTTATTCCTAAAAATTCCCAGACAAAAGCTTGAGACTGCAAACCCTTTAAGGACTGCAACCCCGAGGACTGACCCAGGTTTAACTTGATGTTGTATGGAAGCTCCTTTGCTTTCAAGTCCAGATGCAAACATTTCCTTCATTTTGCTAYTTCAGATCCTTTTGCCATGGGGCTCCTTGTGGGGTGGATGCCAGGGTATTGCCTAGTTTGCTTTACCACCCTGAGCCACTCACTCCCTGTGTTTCCTATGGTGCTGCAGCCCCTGCTCCTGCAGCTCCTCTCACTCCTGGGAATCTCTGACTGGCAGCACATGGCACTCAGGTTTAGCCCTCTAAAAACAAACAGCAGGTTTTAGTCCAGTGAGACAGAACAAATCAGCCCCAGATCCCACTGCACTATCTATGGTCTTCTGCTTGTACTTCTTGGAAATGTGGCAACCTTACTAATTTATGGTTTTAATTGACTTCTTTTTTGATTGTGTAAATAATTATAAGCAATATATCAGTCTTTAGCAATGTCGTTTTCCATTTTAGCCAGCACACAGCTAAGTTTTTTTTTAAGACTATTATTTTTAGAGTATGATTATTAGATCCCCAAAAACTTTAAGTTTTAATAAACTAACCCTGATAAGCTTCAATGAACAAAGCCTGGAGGAGTTAAAGGCTGGACACCTGGAATCCAGAATTTATAGCTCTCCAAGGACTTGTTGAAGTAACCAGAAGATAAAGAAGAGACTAACAAAGACAATTCAACATGTGCTGGAGACTCTCTGGGAAAAAGATAATAAAAAGACTAAAAGATGTGGACTAATTAGCATAAGAAATGAGAAATCAATAACCAGTAAAAGATAGAATAATAATTAATGCAGAGAATTATGTAATTTAGAATCAATGAACATCAATTGCTTTGCTAAAAATGTATAAGTGAAAAGTYTTGAAAGTCCCGTGCATCTAGGTGGAGCATCCCAGTCTGGAATAATGCCTACTCCCTAATACTACCAAAAAAGTGTTAAAAGTTTCATTTATCCTGACGTTTTTGGCAACATACTGGCAAGTCTCTRGGAATCAGGTGGCAGCAAAACTCCAGAAACTGTCAGTGAGTAAGAGCAGGAGTGACTCTGGGAACAGGACAACAGGCTTTGAGCAGAAATGATGGCAAACTAAGAAACGTGTGCACACAAACCACTGTTGGACTCTTCCTCCTCCCGGGGCTTCCTCCCGTGGTGTGTAACCTCCTAACTGCATCTTTTTCTCCCAAGAAGGYTTAATAATGGAATTCAGAGTGCTTACAGCAATCTTCCAGGAAAAATAGGCAAATCATCCCTATTCCATACAAAGACAAAATGCRGAGCCCAGGCTGGCAGAGCTGACACAAAAGGCTGGCAGYCGAGCCAAGGTTCAAAGCCCAGCTGAGGATATGTTGGTGCTTGGCCCTCTTGTGGAAAGGAACCACCCATGAGTGACCCTGTGATGCTTTATGTTAGTTTGGTTTTGGCTTTTGGTGTTTGTCTTCCCACAGGCAAGAGGATCTGTGTTCAGGTTTCTCAACCATTCAAGTCTGAAGTGTGAAATAATAACAACTACTTAGATGCAATATTTCCAACACCTGCACATATTTTTGACCTCAGAAGGGCAGGCTCAGCTCCGTAATTTATAAGAACTCCTGCTATAAAGGCAGCCACTGCAATGAAGAATTCTCAAACAGTTTACCAGCCTCCATCCTGTGGCTGCCTCTGCGGAGAAATGTAGACAAACAGTCCAAGTATAAATGTTTCTAAGGAATAATTTTCTTCATGACTGGTCATTTAGGTCACACACCTAAGCRCTGATACTCAGCCTAAGAAAGCAAAGGATAGAGAATTATTTTTACTAGATCTAGAAAGCACAGGGTTAAAAGTTATCTAAATGAAAGGTTAATATTGGAACTGTCAGGGGCTTGGGTTTTTTGTTTGGTTGGTTGGTTTGGTTTTTGTTTGGTTTTTTTTTTGGTTATTTTATGGGGTGTGTTTCTTTGTTTTGTTTTTAATTACTTCAGAGTTCTTTTCTCAGTTTAAAAATTAAAAAAAAAAATAGAGAAAGATCTGGGCCTTTGCTGTTTGTCTAGTTTTGAAACCATGCCAGCATTTTTGAATGGCTCTACACACATTTTTTCCAAGCTGGAGGGTTCTCCAGCCCCARGATCACCACTGATCAGTGCATTAGTCCACAAAAAGCAGTGGAGAGAGAGCAGCTGGTCAAACTCTGATTGTGAAACCTGGGAGGCTGCATATTGTCATAATGCAAATACTATGTGTCAGATGAACAKTTCTAAAGAATTGCTTCATCAGATTAGGAACGTTCAAATTCTTTGGACCTATAGTCACTAATTTTCCTTCTTACTAATGATTATTAATTAATTAATGCAGCTGGACGTGAGAAAACGCCCAGTGCACTGCACAGAATCAGTGGAGGAAGCACCGTTGGCACTCTMTACAGCTCATATCTCAAGTACAGTCAGCTGGCAAGTATTCAAAAAAAGTAAATCCACTTTCCTTTTAGATCTCCCACATTACTTTTCCTCAGGAAACCAAATATCAAACAGTAACAAGAGGCAGAAATACTATCTACAATCCTGCAACACCTTCTCTAACACCATATCTGAARTTCCAGTTTCAAAGGAAATAATGCCCAGAATTCTAGGAGTCTATGTAACAAGTTTTGTAGATACGCAAAAAAAGAAGGGTACAAGAGATTCGTTTAGATCGTGTATTTTCTAAACAAAACCCCTAAACCGCAGATGGCACAAAAGCAATTCTCATGAACACTGGGAAAACATAAAAGGAAGAATGGAAAAAAGAGACACCAGAAACACATTAACAAAAAGTTTCCTCGCAGACCTGACTGCYGCTGGCTCCAGCCCCGGCTCCAGCCGAGCAGCAGTCGGAGGAGCCGGCGCTCCGCTCGCCCCGCCCCGCCGCGGCCGCGCTCCCTCCCCGGGCCGCCTCTGCCCTGCCTTCGCCCCGGCCCGCCCGCTCTTCCCCTCCCTCCGCCGGCCCCGGGCCCGCCTCTCCCGGCCCTGCGCCCCGCCGGCGGCAGCGACGTGGAGCGGAGCGGTGCGGGCCGTGGCGGTGGCGGCGGTGGTGGCACAGCCATGTGGGTGGCGGCGCTGGCGGCGCTGCTGGCGGCGGCGGGCGCGCAGTACGAGCGCTACAGCTTCCGCAGCTTCCCGCGGGACGAGCTGATGCCGCTGGAGTCGGCCTATCGCTACGGGCTGGACCAGTACAGCACCGAGAACTGGCCCGAGAGCGTCAGCTACCTGGAGGTCAGCATGCGGCTGTACCGCCTGCTGCGCGACAGCGAGGCGTTCTGCCACCGCAACTGCAGCGCCGCCGGGCATTCTCCTCCCGCGTCCCCCGCACCAGCGGGCGCGGAGCTGCAGGAGCTGCGCCTCCTGTCCGGGGTGCTGCGGAGGGCGCAGTGTCTGCGGCGCTGCAAGCAGGGGCTGCCCGCTTTCCGCCAGGCGCAGCCCGGCCGCGACCTGCTCGAGGAGTTCCAGCGCCGCGAGCCCTACAAGTACCTGCAGTTCGCCTACTTCAAGGTGAGCCCCCCCTATCCCGCTCCTTGATCCCTCCTCCTTTCTCCTCTCATCTCTCTGCCCTGCCTCCGCTCCCCACCCCCCGCCTCCGGCACCGTCTTTCCTCCGCGCAGTGTCGCCTTGGTGCGGTGCCACCCTCCAGCCACGCCGAGCGCGCCTGTCAGTGTCCTGGACAAGGGGGACAGCATGGTGTGCCCGTGCACGTGGCGTGTCCCAGGACAGTCGCGACTCGTGCACCCGATGCTAGAAGAACCTCCTGTCATGTCAGCCTCTGGCCTGGCCCTTGGAGCAAGTTACTCTGGGCCAAAGCCCCATTCCCCATCCCTCCTCCACACCAGTTGTCATCTGCCTCACCTCCGTTTCTTCTCTGCCCCATGGCCAGGTCCCCAGTCCCTGCCCCCTGGGCTGCCAACCCTACACTTTCTAATCTTCTCCTTGACGAGCCTTTCAGTTGTCTCCTCCCACTGCTGTAACCCTTAGTGGGATCAGGGGATGCCTTGTCTTTCCCCTGCTTACCCGTGTAGTACCATCCAGCTTGCTCTTCATCCATTTTTTTACAACTCATCCAGCATGTCCCCTAGATCAGCCGCTCCAGTTCTTCCTAGACATCTGGCCCCTGGACCCTGCCTCTGTGTCCTGTAGTTGTGTCATTCCTGCCCCCTCTCATCTTCCAATCTGCCTTACTTGCTAACCTTCTCTGGAACCTTTTTCAGACTCTTCATGTCACAGCTCTGCTATTGCAAGGGATCTTGGCTACTTATTCTCCTTCAGCGTGTCCACCTTCTTCACTTGCTCGTTTCTGGTCCAGTTCTTTCAAGTGCAGCAGCCCCCAGCCTGTGACTTGCAGATAGYCTGATGCCTGAAAAGCTCCAGCTTCGTTGCAGCTGCGAGAAGGAGTGAAGCAAAAATTGGCTGCTGAAGTGGGACACTATAATGCTAGCCCTGGAATGGTATTTACCTTTTGATCTTGGATCAGCCAAGRCAGGACACACTCTTAACAGATTTCATCCTGTTTTTTCTAGCTTCTTGTCATTCTTCTGTCCAGGATCTAATTGATTATTTTCACCCTTCCCATCTTCATCTTCTGTTCTCTTTATCAAGGTTCGCCCCTCAATCCACCCCCTGAGATACTGCAATTATTTGCATTTCAAATAAACAGGGCATCTCTGTGGGGAGGAAACAAGCTGAGCCCTTTGGCTGGGCTGTTTTCTCTTTTAGGGATTCACTCCCGGCGTATCCCACTATACATTTTATGGAGTTGTATGCTTATGCATTATTTTGAGATTGCCTCTTGAAAACACACATCTTAACTGTTGCTGTGTCCTGTTTTCTTACCAGTTTTTTCCAAACAGATGCAGGGAAATGTGTTTTCATGAAACCAGCACAGTATCCACATGGACATGTGGATCATGCTGCTATCTATTGCCTTCCCTAAGACCACAGAAAAGAACTTAACTTGCTGCATTAAATCCTCTGCCCTTTCTTTTGATGGAGAGGGCAGGAATTCCTCGAATTCTCAAAGCCATATATGGATACAAAAATGACATCACCACAAATGTTTCCGTAACTTAATTTAGCTATTAATTCCCCCTTTGTGGGACAAAGTTTGCAGTGTATGGATAACATCAAAAATAATTTATTTTTACCATTTTGAATGCAGACAAGTAACTGCCAGGTAGGAATGTGAGACGGAAATCAGAGGAACCCCTTACTCTCCCTTTAAACTGTTTTTCAATCACATTTGCAGTAAGTTTGAGCAGTGTAGTTTGGTGTCTGTTTAYACTGTGTTTCATACTGGATTTGTAGCCCAGCTCTGAGCCCTTATTTCTCACTTGGGGAGTTCTGAAYGGGCCTTCTAGAGCTACAAACTGCTGCATCCAAAGGACTTTTTCCCGGCTGGTGTTTTCTGCAAAAGGAATGTCCCTTCCCCCACGCCTGCACCGCCCTCCAACAGCATTTATAGTGTAGGAAGAAGCRGGAGAGAAATGTTTTGTGTCTTTTTTTAGAGTGACTGTCTGTGTATTCAGGTGGGCTCCACAGAGAGCTTTTGCCACGTTGTAAGATTCTGGGAGTAGCTGTTCCTGTGCTTCTGCTTGCTCCTCTGGAGGGAGCTTTCTCAGAGCCGCTGAGTTCACTAGGAGTGTGTTTCTACAAAACCCTTTTTTATTCTTTTCTAAGAGGTGAAAATTGAAACCAAGAGTGAATCATGGACCTAAGTAARAATGAGACTTGTCAGCCTACCAAAGAAACAGTTACAGCTACAGCACAAAAGAAACCAGACTTCTGACGAAAGTGCAGCTGAGATTTCCCTTTTCCTTTTGCACTTTAGGGCTGGGCTGACTGGAAGCACGTAATTTTGGGACAGCCAGGAAGGGCAGCTGGCACGGTTCCAGCGCTAGGACACTCCCAGCAGCACAGCAGCAGTGGGTGGGTTGAAGCCTTGYTTTGGTGCAGTCATCTCTCAGGTTCCTTTCTGAACTGAAAGGGCACCTTTTATGGATGCAGACAGAAAAGTGTGCCTGTGATTCTTGCCCGTGATTTTAAACATGCACTGCCAGAAGGTGTTTCAGATGTGGGGTGCAACTCTGTGTCGCCTACATCAGTACACTGAACGGGCTGATGTGGATCTTGGCTTAGAAAAAAAGGTTTTAACATTTCACAAATACCCGAGGCTTTTGCTTTCTCTCTCAGTCTTCCTAAATATGTGCATATACACTATATAAATATTGAAAAATTGTGTGTGTGTGTATATATATTATATATATATATATATTTAACATTTAGAAAAACCCATAAATTGCATGCACGCAGAAATACATACATGTTTGGTACCTGTAGTTGTAAATCAGAAATGTACACTTCACAAACTAGATCTTATAGGGACTAAAGTTAGTTTAAAAATGGGCACAGAAGATTGCTTTAGGACACAGTTACTGGCCTGTTAACTCTGCAGATTGCTCTAATTTTGTAATGCCACCAGGAAGWTATATTACTGAATGTCCTCTGTGCTGATGGACAAAATAAGTGACATAAACATATGTAAATACTCATGACTCCTTACCAGTATCCATAGGTTAGCATCAATACTTGCTGTGAGATTAATCCTCCCAGGAGCTATGGTATGGACTTTTGCCCTGTCAGATTTATGAATGGGGTTCATGGAAAGAAACCTAATCTTTTATACTTACAACAATCATCTATGCTATCTAAAAATAATAGACTTCTGAAGTATTCACAGTAATGCAGCTAGGCATAAAACTGAKAAGAATTATATCAGTTTTGCTGTACCATTGTATCTGCTGAGACTGTGCTTTCAGTAGAAGTAAATTTGTGAATACAGAGCATGCAGGAAAATTCATTGACAAAACTGGGAACCTTTGAACTGTTTGGGTTTTTTTTTTCCCCCAATTAACCTTTTTTAACACCTTTCTCTTTTCCTTATCCCTGTTTAGGCTAATAATCTTCCAAAAGCTATTGCAGCAGCTCACACGTTTCTTCTGAAACATCCGGATGATGATATGATGCAAAGAAATATGGCCTACTATAAGAGCATACCTGATGCTGAGGAGCATATYAAAGACTTGGAGACAAAGCCTTATGAGGTACACTTTTTATTCAGAARTGTCTGCTCCTTTGGTGCTGTTTTATTACTCCTTTTATTGAGTGAGATTCAGGGATCTCATTTGCCTAGGTGTTCTTAGTTCTTAATCTCCCTCTTTCCATCATCTCAGTCGTTTTGTTCTGCTTTCTTGATGCATTCAGTAATTCTCWCCTCTCCTGCATTTCATTGTTCCATAAATGAGTCACAGCACATCACAGACGGTGGTGCACCTGAAAGCTGCTACGTGCAGATCACTGCTGGAGCTGAGCAGGTGCAGAGWTACCCAAATTCGTGAGTGCTGTAKTGGCACAGCTTAAAATAACTCAGAYATTTGGCACTAAGATTCCCCTGAAAATCTCTGTCACAACCTGTGCTTTAGACTCACACCGTTRCTTCTCTCCAGCAGGTTTTTCTTCTGTTTGGACATGGAATTACATACTCTGCTCTCTAGGAAACACCTGGTAAACTCCATTAGTCGTCTGTATTTTTTTGTCCTTACATCACCTGGAGAGCAGCTCGTACAGTCACCCAGAAATGTGGAGACATCATTTATTGTGTTTGAGTTTACACAAGGCTTCTTACGGATCACTTGCTGCTGATTCATTCTTGCCAATTTTTCAGAATCTCTTTGTCAGGGCTGTGAGAGCCTACAATGGTGACAATTGGCGAACRTCCATCTCCGACATGGAACTGGCTCTTCCTGATTTCTTCAAAGCCTACGATGACTGCACAGCAGCCTGTGAAGGCTCCCGAGAGATCACAGATTTTAAAGACTTCTATCTTTCCATTGCAGGTCAGTGGTTAGAAAACGGGAAGGAAAGATATCCCCAAAACATGTTTTGATTTATCTGCAGGATTGGTTACCCTCAGTAAGAGAACTGCTGGAATTCTGGTTTACTTTTTTGCTCTTTTCAGTAACAATAATGAGGTCTATCAAGAAACCAGAACAGAGATCTTACATTAACGTGGAAGTTCTGTGTCAGAATATCATAGATGTGTAAGTTACAAAAACTGCTCCATTTGGGTGGGTAACAGTGATTATCCAGCCAGGTCTCTTTACCATCACTTCAGGATATCAGTTTGGCCACTTTTGAGGCTCAGTGGTGAGCCTGCCTTTGAAGTCAGCTGAGTAGTTTGTATAGGTCTGCTGTTCTAAATCTCCTGTTTCATAAATACCACAAGGTTCTGCTGCCTGCTTTTAATCTCTCCTACATTAGTTTTACCAGTAGATAACATCTATTTTTTGTGTGTCACTTATAAAAAAATCCATTGCTTTTCAAAGGAAAAGGGTTATCAGCTTTTTTGGTTGTAGTCAAAATGACACATACACATTTCCTATGCTCTTTACCAGTGAAAGAAACAAATAATTTCTCCAGTGTTCAGAGCTCAGTGTTGTTGACAATATTTGTATGRAGAACACCTGCATGTTTCCTCAATAAACTCAGAAATTCTCTTGCATTTTTCCCATTTTTAAGTTGCCCAAAGGAAAGCCATTCCAACTTTTTGTCCTAAAGCCATAGTATGTCTTGGTGAGGGGAAATTTTTGTGAAATGTGTTTATACATGATCAGCTCCAGTTTCTCAAGGTGTGCAGCTGGTATCCATCGGTGCAGCTGATATGGAATAGCTATTGCAGGCTATTCCTTGAGCCCTGACTTACTCTTGGGCAAAACAGGCAGGTGCCTGGGACAGCAAATAAGGGGTAAAGGTCGAATCAGGGGCAGTAAAGCAAGGAGCACAGATTTTCTCCACCAGTGGGCAGAGCCCTGACATCAGGACAATCCCCAAGCCACTGTAAAGAGTGCAGTGTCTATGCTCAGCTGTGATTGACAWTGTCACCCTTCCTCTTCCTCCTTGGAAGAGAAGGACAATTCCCAGCAGTAGTGGTGGGAAGGAAAGACAGGAATTACTTCGTGATGTCACCATGGCCGTGCATTTCAAGTCTTTTGCTTCTGAGATAAGAGCATTCAAATTTAATTGCACTGCCTGGGCTGAATTGTGCTCKTGWTTCAGGGAGAGAGATTCTGCCTCCAAGGGTCTGCAGAAAGCAGATGTAGTAGTAAATGTTGACCAGAAGTATTTGCACTGGGTGTGTATTTATCCCTGAGCAGTGAGTTGTGTTTGGAAGCCAGCTGTCCTCATGGCACAGGATCACTTCACTGAGGGACTCACATCTCTGGCTGGAAGTGCTGGCTGCAATTGAACACTACTGTGTCTGGAGATTCCACTGCTCTTGTAAAAGATGGGTCTGGTGATTTCATTTGGACAGTTATTTTTAGTTGGCTTRAGCAGTTATTTTTAGTTAACTTCAGTTTTCTTTGTGTTAGGAGTTGTCAGGGATGAAAAGTGTTCTTTTGTCTTGCTCAGAAAATTGCTGCACAAACTTATCTAACTTGCTTTCACCTGCCAAATGTGGCTAATAGGGAAATTAAAACTTTAGAATATGTATTTTCCATGCTGTTGATGAATTGTGACATATCCAGAAAATGCTGGGACCTTCTTGTGGGAAGGTTTTCTTGAAATGTATTTTCTTGAAGGCAAAATCACCTGTGGTCCTATGTTGCATTATATATATATATATCAACTTTTAGATTGGGTAAGCTTGTGAATTTACATGTTCCTGGCTGAAAATGCTGTGGTGAGCAGCATATTCTCCTCTTTTTTCTGTCTCAGAACATCCAAACTCTGGGCCCAAAATGCAGCCATCTCTGGAGGTTTATTTTGCAATCATCTGCTGTATCTCTCTGTGACACAGTTACACTCAGTATTTTAATGAAATGGCAAAGCCTTGCAACATTTAAAAAAGGAAAGAAAGCACTATTAAGTTTATAGCTAGAAAATAATGCAGTGCTCTGTAATATGTTATAAAACCCACCACCACCTGCTGCCTGTAGGTGTCAGTGAAACCTATTTTCTGGAATTCCATCTTTGATGTAATTCAGATTTTTACGGAAGGGCCTAGTACTGACACTTGGAGGATATTTAGATGGAGTTGTAGATTCTCACTACTTCCAAGCAGCAAGATCCAAAAGCACAGGACCCTGGAGGGCATTATTAGGCCAGATTTTAATGGRTGGCTGATGGGAGGGGTTAAAACAATTCACTCTGTTCTATCCTTATCCTCTGTTGGTGTTTTCTTCCTTCCAGATCATTATATCGAAGTCCTTGCATGCAAAGTGCAGTGTGAGAGCAATCTGACACCCATTATAGGAGGCTTTGTTGTTGAAAAATTTGTGGCCACCATGTACCATTACTTGCAGTTTGCATATTATAAATGTAAGTAGTGATTTAATGTGCTTGAGTAACTTTGGGTCGATGTTGGACAGATTCCACTCATAATCTTTTCCTTCTAATTTTGTGCTTTAGGAGGTAAATACTAGCATCCAAAATCTGCATTTTAACCTGTTTTGGGACAGAAAATCTGAATTTCCTGGTGCCTTTTTGTTCCCAGCATCACTGTAGTTAACAGACATGGGACAGAACTTCTGCTGCAGATGAACCTACAGAGTATTCTATAACATTTGCTTTCTCCTAGTGGATTCTGAATAAAGTGGATTTTTGAATAAAGAGGGGACCACTTGACAGAAATTGTAGTGTCTGGCAGTCAGTGCTTGATAGGTAAATTATTCAGTGAATTTTGTGGTTTCTTGGGAAGCTACTTGCACTGTAGAGAACACACGTAGCCCTTACAGCTAATCCTGCTCCAATATCAAAGAGAAGATGGGTCAGCCATGTAGCATCAAGCCGTTAATGACTTCTGCTTGTGTTGTTTCATTATACACTTCACACATTGACTCTTCCCTCTTTATCAATTCTAGTACAAAGGAGTGGGTCGGGATTTATTATATTTTTGTTTTTTAAGTAAATGCCCCCAGTGCATGTCACCAAGCTGTGGGGTTACAGTGRGATACTTGGGAGGAAGATTTGGTAGGGATTTTCCTAGAAAACCATCAGAGGCTGATGATGAACTGGTTTTTGAATCATGGCTTTACGTGTTCAGAACACAAAAATAGGATATCCTTTCTAGAAAGCAAGGTTTTTATTCTGTGCAGCCGGTGAGGAGGTATAGTATGAGCTGTGTTTCCATTTGAGTTTTGCAGAGCTTAGATAACAGTAGGAATTTGTTCATGTGTCTTACCTGCATTTTTTTTGGATGTGTTTTTATTAATTAGTGAATGACATGAARAATGCAGCTTCCTGTGCTGCTAGTTACCTCCTGTTTGATGAGAAAGATGAAGTAATGAAACAGAACATGGTCTATTACCAGTACCACAAAGACAAATGGGGACTTACAGAAGAGGATTTTCAGCCCAGATCGGTGGGTGAACTACCTAAAATGCCTTCTAGACACATTCAAATATTTCTCTGAAGCTTAGTGGGTCAGAGGCTGGGAAAATGTGGGATATCTGCTGGTTCTGGAATTTACCACATACTGTTTTATTAAAACCATATAGAAAGTTGTGCACAAAGGTGTAGTGTGCCATGTAAACAGTGAAYGTCATTATAGCTCTTTCTGTTGAAATATACTACGATAGGATATAATATATGGTGGGAAGTAAATCCATGTTGGTGCTTCTCTGTCACTTAGGCATTTTTATATCTTCATGTACCTCTACAAATAARGCAGCTGGCCCCTGAAATCTCTGATGATGAAATCTCTGAGTGACATTCAGGCTTTTGTGAATCATTATTTGCCAACACATACTTGCCCACTCTCTTGTTATTTCAGGTTCTGTGGGCATTGGAATGTGTCTGGATATGGTAACTCCAGCTAAACTCACTTTCCACTTACTCCATTTAGAACACAGTTGGRTGGATGAGGACGGAAAAAGGCTCAGGACTATATTGCATCTAATTATCTAACTTAAAATACTTGCTGCAAAGAACCCGCAGTAGACACCAGTCCATCCAGCATAAATGGTGACCTGGCTTTAGAAATCTATTTTAAAAACAGCTTTCCATGCTGTTCTTAAGTTTCCACGTCCAAGGAAATTTTACAGGCTGGACTGCTACATCAGGTTGGATTTTCCAACGTTTCTRCTTACCAGGATTTAACTCATGCAACTAAATGGTGATACCGCAGTGACTGCTTAGGCATCAGTCATATGGGCTGTACAGCTAGATTGTCACTAGCAATACACGTGCCACAAATTAAATTTGGTGCCTTCTGGTCGTTGCTCTCAGAGCACAAACACTTTATCAGCACAGTGGGAACCCRGGGCTGCCCTGCAGGGCCAGCTGAGACAGAGGGCAGCAAAATGAGTTTGGTTCTTTCAGGCGGCAGCACTGAGTCTGAGCTSGCAGGGGAAGGGGACTCTGCTCCTTTGTCACTGTTTCTGGGAACAGAGCTGTGCTTTATAACCATATTGGGGACAATGTTTGGTGGTGGTGRGAGTGAGGGGTAGCAGCAGCATGAAACTGCAAACCGCAGACGGATTTGGCGTGCGTGTGCAGGGAGGGCCGAACAACAGCCCTACACATGCACTCTGAATGTTTCATTGATAACTCCTGTAGCTGGGCACTACAGATCATTTGATTTTTAAATACAAAATTCTAAATACACACAACTGTATTTTCTTGTACTTTGATCTAGGTAGCTATAAACAGAAGTTGCTTGCAGTCCTAATCACTTGCCACAAAACCCATAAAGCGGCTGTTTTATTTTCAAAATGTGGTAATGGGGTGACAGCAACATTTGGCTCTGGCACTGATCTTTAGATRTTCTTGGGAAAGAGGGAGTCTCCTGTTTCCTTCCCCTAAAGGAGTTAAACGGGATAATCCAAGCAGATTACACTTGGTATTCACAGCTATGAGTGTGTGTGACTGAGCTGCTCTGTGCTGTGTG